GTTTTTGTAAAAGTAAAAAAGGAGCACACACTCTTCACATAAAGCACTTCAGCATGTATGTATTACCACAAGACTTGTGCAAAAAAATAGTTTGAAGCGATTCGTCCGAAAAGAAAAATTCCTGTTAATACCAGAATGCCAAATTGATCTCACCTGTAGATGCCACCGATAAAACTAAAGGAAAAATGTTAAGGAATCAATTCGTTCAACGATTACCAGGAATTTATTTGGAAAAACTGCTTAAAAGTAACCTTTTGCACATCTAATTACAACAATCATGAACCTTACCTTTTTGTTAACTCTGTTATTATCATTTTTATGTAGTGCATATTCCGCAGTGTTTTACAATATAGGAAGGGGATTTTTGAAGAAGGCCCTGCTCAAACAAGCTTACAATCCATGAGGATTTAAGGTATGCAGATACATATCGTCAAGGGTCTTGCCCAGGGACACTTACTGGTGACGAAGTCTGTCTGGGATTGAAACCTAGGCTTTCCTGTTCTAAAGCAGGGATTTTACCACTGCTCTAGCCAGCCGATATATAGCGCATGAACATTAAATGATCACTTGACAAACTCGTTTTCCTGACACTATAGCATCCTTAGGACCCCCAGCCTCAGGGTCCTCCTCCCTCTGCGCTAAAAGGCGTTAAAATCCCTTCAACAGCTTACCAGGGCTCCCTCTCCTCCCCCGCTGACGTCGGCTACCGAGTGGAGAGGAATGTGCATGTGCGGCATAGGAAAGCATTTCTCAATGCTTTCCTATGGACGTTCTGCACGCTGGATGCGGATTTCGCATCCAGCATCGCAGAAGCGCCTATAGTGGCTGTCCGGAAGACACCCACAAGAGGTTGAATTAACCCTGCAATGTAAACATAGCAGTTTCTCTGAAACTGCTATGTTTACATCTGAAGGGTTAAAACCTGGGGGACCTGGCACCCAGACCACTTCATTGAGCTGAAGTGGTCTGGGTGACTATAGTGTCCCTTTAAGGACACAAAATTAAAACCAGAGTGTGTTTGGACACCTTTTAGGGCTTATTTTGAGATGCTAACTTTTCTAGAACAAGTGGTTTCAAGTTGGCGTTTAAAAAGATTTATAGATGTCATATCTAATAGCATTTTATGCTGTAGTTGGATAGTCTAGAAATTTTTGTTAAGCAATTATTGGGGTGGGAGGATGACTATGTTCTGGTCATATGTTTTTTTTAATAGTTAAGCATTTTTATGCTATGATTAACCCCTTTACACTGAGTGACATGCTGTTACAGTCACACAAAACTGTCCGTAGAGGTCCTGGCACATCATGGATTTGACATTATGACTCTTAGTGTTTTAATAAATGTTCACTCAATTGAGAATTGTCAGACATTTTAAGGAAATATTACATTTTATGGCCAAACTATGGCAGAGTTGCAGAATTTCCATTTCTCTTATTTTGGCCTTAAACTTACCATTTACTTTGAATTCCCTACAGTTATAACCTTAGTAAATTGCTCTGTATTTAGCAAAATGACAGTGAACAGCAGGTTACTGGGTTCTTAACTAAACAAAGAATTGCCAGGAGTTCCAAAAGGAATTGCATAATTGAAAGCCAAATAGTTTAATTATGATGCCAGACCCAGCAATTTTGCCCTACAATTTGCAATGTTCTTGACTCCCTACAGTTCATGGTCTAACTAAAGGAACACTGTAGGCACTGCAACTGCTTAATCTCATGCACGTGGTTATAGTGTCTGGAGTTCCTTTGCCCGGTCCTTCCTTGCAGTGGTAAACCATTTGTAATGCTAAATTATATACATGATAGTTCCCAACAACTCATCTCCTCTAGGCTGCTTGAGCTAATGAGGAAGTATTAGCCTGAGCAGCAATAAGAGGCTGTGATTGGCTGAGAGCATCAACTTACAACTTTCAGCCTATCACAGTGCCCATTGCTCATATGAATTGATATGGCTGGAAGGAAGTGTGTAATCTCTGCCTTAGCTGTACCTCCAGTGGGGGCGGGACTGTGGGAAGCCAGGGACCCTTATTTAGTGTTAAACTCATCAAAAATGGTTTAATGCTGAATGGAGGCACAGTGCCAGCGGACTGCAGGCAGCATAACCACTGCAATGATATGAAATAGTTATAGGGCCTAGAGTGTCCTTTAAATATCTATACATGTAAAATAATTAAGTCTCACTGTGTGTGTATATATATATATATATATATATATACAGGGCCGCCATCAGAGGGTGACAACCATAACGGTTGTCGCGGGACCCGGCCGCCTGGGCCCCACCCCATCAGGTGGCCCACACCCTTAGGGTCTCCCGATGGGCCCTATATCTTCAGGGGCCCGGTCAGCGTTGTGGCTGTGGTTTAGTGCGACCGGGCCCCTTTAAAAAAATTTAAAACAGCAGCTGCAAGTGCTGGAGCTCACTTCGCACGTGAGGAGCGCGCGCGTCAGTGAAGAGGGAGAGCCAGGCAGTGAAGAGGGAGCTGCGCCGACTCCCATCAGCCCCAGCCACCCTCCTGCAAAGAAAAGGTAAAAGACAGGAGGGGGGCTAGAAAATGAGCTATGTATGTCTGTATGTCTATGTATGTATGTATGTATGCATGTATGTCTGTCTGTCTGTATGCATGCATGTCTGTGTGTATGTCTGTATGCATGTGTATGTATGTCTGTCTGTCTGTCTGTATGCATGCGTGTATGTATGTCTATGTGTGTATGTCTGTCTGTCTGTATATATGCATGTATGTCTGTCTGTATGCATGCATGTCTGTTTGTATGTCTGTCTGTCTGACTGTATGCATGCATGTATGTCTATGTATGTCTGTATGTGTATGTCTGTCTGTATGTATGTATATATGTATGTCTGTATGTCAGTATGAATGTATGTCTGCATATCATTATGAACGTGTGTATGTATGTCTGTATATATACATGTATGTCCGTCTGAATGTATGTATGTCTGTATGCCATTATGAATGTATGTGTGTATGAATGTATGTGTGTATGTATGTCGGTGTCTATATGTATGTGTCTGTCACTATGTATGCCTGTGTGTATGTCTCAGTATGTGTGTGTCAGTATGTATGCCTGTATGCATGTATGTGTGTCTGTTAGTATGTATCTGTGTCCTTTTGTATCAGTGTGTGTGTTTGTGTCTGTGTGTGTATTCCTGTGGGCGGGATTTGGAGTCGAACCCAGTGGGCGGTATTTTGAGGCGCCCTGAACCCTGAGGTGAATTAGGGGCCCCAAAATTTCTGGTGGCGGCCCTGTATATATATGTATTCAAATTTTTGTGAGATGTGTCAGGTTAGTATATGCTCTAACTGTTCATGTGTGTACGTGCAGTCTCTGTGTGTTAATGTGTACACAGAGATTTGTGAGTGAACACTGCACAGTATCAGTACGTGTGTGTGATTTTATTGCCAATTCTTCTTGTGACCAGTGTGGTGAAATATTTGTGATAGTGTTTCCCGGAGGCTGGAGATATTGAGTAATATGTTATTCCAGATACAATATTGTTTGGAGTGGGAAAGCCACGGATTTCTTATCTCTTTCTCCCTGCCGCGCTTTGCAGACATAGTTCGGTAGAAGCATTTGAGAACAAGACCTGATTTAATCTTTGAGAACAGTTTTATCAGACTTCCTCCATTCTCACAGAAAGCGTCAAACTCAGCGCTACACATTACCCTTTTCTCCCACGGTTTGCAAGGCTAAAGAGATCGTTATATGTGAACCGGTCACATATAACTCACAACATTTCACTTTAGAGCAGGCTTCCCCAAACTCTGGCCCTCCAGATGTTGCTGAACTACAACTCCCATGATTCTATGAATGAAATAGATAGGCTGAGAATCATGGGAGTTGTAGTTCAGCAACATCTGGAGGGCCAGAGTTTGGGGAAACCTGCTTTAGAGGATATATATCCAGGGGATGAGACTTTTTGAGAAATTCAGCACATAACTTTGAGACATTTAAAGATTCCGCCAAGTGACAATTGGCTGTAAAACGAAGCACTGTAATTGTCATATTTAAGGCCAAAATAGCCTAACTACTTTGGCTTATATTTGAAATTCTCTTTGATTGCACTTTGAATTCATGACAGCTCGCTTTGGTGAATAACACTGCTCGATGTTAATTCTGTGATTTACTGGTTGTATGTTATTACAGTGGACGTCTGTAATACCGGTAAATGGTGAGTTATTATTTAGTGGAGGGCTGTGATAGACTGATTGACACTGTATTTTATGGTGAGATCTATTGTGGTAAAGCTCTGTGATACCATGAAACACACAACATATTACTGTGAGCTGTGATACTCTGTTATATCCAAACATACTGCATGTTGCTGTGAGTTTTACTACCGTGGAGGTAAGTGATACATTCTGCTAATTACTAGAGATTTATTTCTGTAGAACAATCTGATACACCTATACACTGTTAGTTTACAGCTATTGAGCTGTAGGATACCCTCAAACTACAGATTTTTAATTATAATTTTAAGTCAAATGGCTTTGTTTTAAAACCTCAATCTAACCTTTCTCACAAAGTCAAAGTAGATTAAAACAATACACCTTGAATAGCTGATTAGGAAGAGATAGTGTTAGTATATCGTTATAACACTGCCTCAGGTAACTAAAAAATACAGTGTATTATAAAAACCTAGGAACTGTTACAATATGTCTTGGATGAGCGGCCTGTTGGCCATGTTGGATAAAAGTAGCCTCAGCTCCTGATTATAGGTGGGAATGAGCTCAAATCTCAATGTCTAGGGTGAAACCTTGACATAGCAAAAGGTGCTTTTGGAGTGAATTGAGCAATGGTTTGGCCTGCTAACACAAGACTGCAGCTCAGATGAGCAAGGCCTAGTGTGGAGATTGTGTGTGGGAGGTGTCTGCTCCTACTGGACTCTGGTTTATGGCCTCATACTGGCTACTGCCCCTTTCTTTGGACAAATAGGGGTTATCGCAGTCCAGACAGTGGAAGGTACTGATGCTAGGGCTTGCCAGAATGAACCCAGCATCCACAACAACCTTTGCTTTTTATAAGATGGCCGCATGGCTAAGAACAGTGGAACATGGCATACAGCCAGACACAGTCCTGACTAAACTTGATTTCCTATGGATGAGGTTTTGGGTAATGTTAACAGGCCGTCAAACACAGATACTGTCAGCCGCTAACTCTGAGGAGAGAGATAAATGCCTGGCGTTCCTACAACAATGCCAGGCGTTCCTACAACAATTCCACTTGGAGCCAACCCGGTCTGAGAGCCAACAGGGGTTTGTCCACAATCCACCACCGAGTGAGACGCCGTGTCCTTCGTCCTCATGAATCGCCCTTGTGGGGAAGGACGTGAGCATATTGCAATGTGACACTGTGAAGACTCTTCTCCATAGGTGTACTTTGCAAGTCTATCCTATCCCGACCCAGCATGGAAATAGGGTGATTTCTTCTTTCTTTTTAGGCTATTAGTGCTAATTTCTAAGAATTTATATCCTTGGGTAAGAAACCTATAGTCTCTGAGTGGTTAATACAGCTTACCAACTGTCCATACTAGATCAGTGCAGTTCTATGTCTAGTATTATCGAGTTGGTTGAGTATTCTAGAATTTTAAAATTGTGCTGCAATCTGGACATCATCTCAAAATTTAGTTGACACTCCTTTTATGTTTATGATAATATGTTTTTACCTGTCTGTGATATTGTCATTGCACTTCAAAAAAGTTATCCTTTATCGAAGTTTTATACAGTTTCATTTATGTAAGTTTCATTGATTTCTGTAGACACACCTACAGGGTTATTCTCTAAAAGTGAGAATTCTTTTGAAATTCACTTTGAATTCCTGACAATGTGCATTTTGGTGAATAACCTGTTAGTGGGAATTTTCAACTTTTATGTTTACATAGAGGGTTTTGATATCTGGGCTTGGTGGAGCTTGTTACTTGTGATTGAAGTTTACATTGCGCTTGGAGCTTGCTGTCTAGGCTTGGTGGGGCTTAGAGGAATTTGCTGTCTAGGCTTGGGTGTGTTTCTACCCAAAATTGCATGGGACTAATGTATGCACTTAGAGATACCTCTTTCCTACCCGGAATTTGATGGGCTTGGTTTGTGGGCTTATAGGAACTTGCTATCTAATTTTGGAGGGGCTTGCTTGCTTTGCTTGGGAGCTTACTAATAGGGCCTACATGCGCTTGATACCAGCAAATATTTGGAGGGAACTCTCTGGCTTTGGAGGAGGTTTGTATTGGGGATTGGAGGGAACTCCTAACCTAG